CACCTCATGCTTTCAAGCTGGATTGACCCCTAATGCGATACCTTGAGACAGCGCAGCTTCTTGCCTTGCAGGGTGGATTGGCCCACTGTCAATCATCGCAAAAGTGTTGATGATATTAAGACTCCCGAAACTACGGGACCTGGCGGCAGAGTACGCACGCCACCGTCAGGCTTGTCCAACATCCACAAGACGAAGTCTTTCAGCGAGAATTCAAGTGACCGGAAGCCCAGATGCTCTCCCTCTCCCCTATGCACGTCCCTTGATAAACACCGTTGAAATCACACCACGCCAACATCTCCTTATGTTCTTAGTCTTTAGCCGGTCACAGTAGTCGAGTATTTGACAGACACTCTCCGAAGATTCGCAGGCGAGTCACGGATGCATGATTTTCACGAGGGGTTTAAGGATTTGCTCTTAAGGAACTTCGTCGTCAAACTATAGTCGTACCAACCCTGAAACCACCGGGCCCAAACTCCCAGGCAGGTTGCTGCGCAAGCATCTGGCGAAGAACATGGCTCAGGCTGCAGCGGCCCAAGATGACTTTGCATATCATTTTCGTCACATACAAAATCTAGAAGATGCACTTAGATATAGACAGATTGAAAGAAGAGTATGGGTGCACGAAGAAGCACGCTCATGCACCGAATGTACAAGTCTCGTCCACATGGTACACACACACAGCAGAAACGTAGGTCGCAGCGGCAGATGCTTGTTGGCGGCATGGGGTTGCCAAGATGCAGTGGACCTAAACCATCCCAAACCCTCGACCCCCGCGGCCAGGCTGCCCGAGCAGACGCACAGATGCAAAAGTGACACAGCAGAAGCGGCCTCCACTGCCAATCCATGCCGTTTAATCAGGGCAAACCTCAATGCTACCTGAAGATGTGGGGATTGACACGCCAAACCGGCAACATCAAAGGGTCCCTCGGCATGGCTTGTGCATGTGCAGCACTCCAGCTGCCTACAGCTGTCTTGGGTCCATACCTGGGACCCAACACGAAAGAACGACTGATAATTCAGGCAGAGATTGCAAGCTAAAGCTCCGGATCAATGACATCACTCCAATGTCTTGCAGTCTTCAATCCCTGCCTGACTCATGATCGATCCTTCGGACAGCAGACGAACTAAATACTAAACACTTCAGCACGCGTTCATACAGTCGTGCGCACCTCGCTGAGGACCAAGCCATCGAAGCAAACTGCAATGTCATGACGCCAATGCGCGGGCAAAAACAACAAGTGTAGCAGCTCATGACAAGGTGTAGGCCCACATCGTTTTCCGTTTTCCTCCGGTTATAACCGTAGCAAATAGCAACAAAATGTGCAATGGCCAGTAGGACGAACAAGACTAACGACCAGAGCAACAGCGACATCAGCATCAGCAAAAAGCACTCTCAGCAACAACGAAAAAGACAGCGAAAACGAACACGACGACGACAACAAAGACAACAGCCTAAACGACCACAACAAAAGCGACAACGCCAATCATCAGTAGTTTCGCCTCTGCTGTTGCTATTGGATTCTTGGCGATTCCGTCGCTGGAGTCTCTTGATCTGCACCGTCTATTTGCCGATTAGAGAACGACTGTCCTGGAATAAGAAAGTATAGAAGGACTGTAATGAAGGGGCTACCATCACGAAGTGTTGAGATCTAAAAACTTTTCTCACTGTGAAGTTCCACTCTAGATGCTTGGCCTGGTGCCTCCGAAAGGATTGCACGCCTAATCTCGCGGCTAAACAGAAAGGTTCTATCCGGCAATGTGTGGGCCACTGTTGTTTGTTGAACACAGGCCACATCGGATTAAAAAGCACCGGTGCCGATGCGGGGGCCGCGGCTTGGGAGCGCCGAAGCATGCGACCCCATGCATCCCTGAAAAGGCTGAAAGGGCGTGCAGCAACTGTCGTCGGAGTTCCGGCTTCCCGAGCCCTATGCAAAGAGTTTCTTCCCTAGAGCCCGTGCACAAACCAACCAGTGCTGGTACCCAGACCCCTATGACGAAGCTCAGAATCTCACGTCACCGTCCCTGCTCAGCCCAAGGTGTTTTCAATCCTGACTCCAAAGACCAACTCCACGAATTGGGCATGTCGAACTCCGAGAATGGTGCACGCCGACTGCCCAGGTCCGTGCTGAGTTTGCCCGTGCAATGCAGCATCGGGCAGGCTTCTCACGTCTAGGCATCACACAAGAGCCTCGAGGCACTGTCCAACTTTATCACCATCACGCTATGACCAACAGGGAGATGACCACCATCACTATGTATTTCGCGGTATTGTGCAGCTGAAAAGCGCAATGACGCCGAGGCTCCCAGAAATGCCTCAGTGCCTTGACAGCCCTTCGGTCTGCCAAAGTTTCCTTCAGATGTATCACCCTGGTTCAAGATCGGAGTCTGTGATGGCGGGCATGCAACGCAAGTCTGTTAAAAGGAGTGTGAAGGGGTTGCAGAGGACGGATCAGGTTATACTTGGCATAGGCATCATGAGGCATCATGAGTGAGGTCTTTTTGACTTCGGGTCCGGGGTGGGGTTCGGGGTCTGGGGGTTGTCGCATGCGGTCACTCCTGTGCACTACATGAGCGAAGGCACACCTAAGCAATTTGGCAGGATCTCACAGACACCGAGCCATGGAACAGAGTCCAAGTGTGCAAGCCGGCTGTGTCCAAGCCCTGTGCCCCCGAATCGACAGGATGACATCAGAGACATTTACGCAGCTTGCTACTCTGACATCGCTACTCTTATGCGCAGCCGGCAGGGCCTTTTCAAACTGTTACTTTGCTCGGCATCGGTGGGTGTTCTGGCGAGTGCTCCGTTTGATCGTCGGTCCCTTCGGTCGTCATCTCGACGGTACTGACAAAATTTACATTGCACTTGGTCCATTGGTTTGTGTCGTCGCCGGCGAATCCTAAGGGACAGAGCGTTGTGTATGGTTGTGACGCAAGCCCAAACGAGCTCAATATGGATAGTAACATGACTACCAACTGTCGCGAGTATCGCTAGCATTATCTAGTGGATCTAGCACTATCTATCATTACCATTCCGCTGCTCTCTAAATTTCAAAGCTGTCAGGAACGGGGGCGGTTGGCCTCCGGCCACGGGCTGCCGACTCTCTGAGGCTCAGATCCACGTCCACTGCTGGAACGTAGACAACGCTCCTTACAGGGACTGGGTTTTTGAGGGCAGCCATCATTGGCCATCTAGTCTCTTTATGGAGCCCACACAGACGACGACCAGGCTTCACCGATTTATGGCGTCTCTACAGGTAACACGCATGTATGTCCGTGCATAATGATTGTGGCATGCATGTATACACACATACATACATACATACACAGATACATACATATTCTGGGCATACATAGGTGTAGGTGCGCATGCGTGTCTGTTTGTCGTTGTCTGTCTCGGTGTATACATGTGTATGCAAGGCATGTATGGTATGTCTGGTATGGACTGCATGCCTGGTATGTATTATGTGGTACACGCCATGTACGAGATGTAGATAATAATGAGTGTAATGCAGGTAGCGTAAACCATGCAGTGCATGAGGGCAATGTATGTCCGATACTTGTAGGCCTTGTATGCCATGTATGTCCAATAGGTATGCAGACATGTAGGTACACTAGGCTATGTTCTAAGCTATGCTTGTCTGCATGTAGGTGCCGATGTACGTGCACGTGTGTCAAGTACGCATGTATGTAAGTAGGGTAGGCACGACGGGAAGCAGGTATGCACACATGTATGTAGGTCTGCCTGCGTCTACGTCTGTCTGTGTCTCTCTGTTTGGATGGAGGGATGGATGCAGGCATTCATGCATGTATGAATGTATGTCTGTGGGTACGGCTCGGCAGGTGTACATGTTCATGTGTTGTGTACAACACATATGGGTGTGTGCCACGCAGAACTCACTCGCCCTCCACACGTCTTTTCATGGCTTTGTTTTGGGTGCTTCAGTCCGCTCTCTCTGCTCTATTCTTCTCGCAGGCATCAGGGCGAAGGCTCGCTCTCTCTCTCTCTCTCTCTCTCTCTCTCTCCCTCGAGCCTCGAGGGGGTCCGCGCTTGCGTTTCCCCCCCCCCCCTGCCCCATTTCAGGCAGTGGAAGGCTGCCCCATCATGTTGAGGGATGGGCTCAGATGTACCAGGGTGACTCGGCTTCTCGGAGTGCAGTGGAGCGGGTGCCCCCGTTCATAAGCTAAATATGAAATGAAACTACACGACAACACTGCGCGCACTCGTTGCGCTAACTTCCGGCTCAGGCGGGAAAAAAGCTGAGGTGTAGAGAACAGTAGATTAAGTGGCCAAGTGCACCCGAAGCTCTCCATGCCTTCTGCTTACTTGATGTGTTTCAAGAACGGGGGCACAAAGCCAGAAACAAGTGGACGACCGATCTCGCTCGCTCTCTCCATCCCTCTCTCTCGACTTGCATCATCTATGTATTCGAGCTCTCACTCTGTTCTACCTCTTGCTGCTGGCCTCCCCCGTCCGTGTGTGTGTGTGTAGGGCAACTGCCGAGGCCCAGGGAGAGTTCAAACGCAGCCGAGAGTCAGACGGTGTGCTGATCGACCTGCAGTGGCCGGTGCAGGAAAGAGCAGGAGAGCACGGGTGGCCGTGGCAGAGGAGAAACGAACTAGCACGGTCCAGCACTCTCTGTTTACGCATGTGGCTGTGAGGTTGGGGGCCTAGGGTGTACAACGGGGCACGGAGACTTTAATGTCCACATTTGATGTGCAGAAGGAGTAAACTAGTCGGCGCGTTTCGTCCACGACCACAACTACAAGCCTGCAGCCCCCTCCTCGCATGCATGGGGTCGTAGTACCCGAGCAGTTGTTCTGTGCTACTGTTAAGTGGGTACGGAGGCTGCTGCTGCTTCTGCTCCTTCCCACGAGCGACGACGACTATTTCTGCCACTACTCCTGCTGCCGCTGCTGCTGCGTCGCTACTACACAGCTCCTGCACCCCTGTACCCCGATCGTTCCCGCCACCCCAATTCTGTTTCGAGTCCGGCTGGTTGCTAATGGAAGAATGGAAGATGGAGGGACGCGATTTGTTCTGAATGCGTCCGAGCCACTTCATCATCCAAAACATATGAGTCTCCGAAGTCGTGGAGCCTCTTGCAGTGAACCATTCGCTTGAACATGAAGGGCGCAGCATCGACATCATGGAGAAAGGCGCGCAGCCTCCGTACCTTTGACGAAATGCCATCATTGACTGAAACTCTTTGCGACATTTTGCGGCTACTTAGAACGTCTGATGCCTCGGCTAGCCGTGTCCACTCACAGCATCACGAAAGTGACAGGGTTCCGTGGCACTGAGACAGAACCTTGACAATTCGTCTCGGAAGGCTTTGTCGCGGTCATGGATTTTGCTTAAGTCATGCTTGAGCAGTTGGGCGGCTGCAGCATCGCCTGTCATTCTACAGTGAACAGTTTAGTAATAAGAATACGTACGACGAGGCCGTTGGTTTGGCTCACACCTGTTGCTCATCATGTGGACCAGGACAGCTCATGACCATAGCAGCCAAGGTGCATGCTTGTCGTGAAGTTTTCGGTTTGGTTCAATCATCCGACCAACTGGGTAGTCCTGACGATGAGGAAAACAGTGACGGAGTTGCAGGCCTATGCGACTTGCCAGTTCTCAAGCTGCAGTCAGCTGGAAAAGAGCCCCCCAGAAGCACCAAACCGAAAGCTCCAGCAGCTCAGTCTGGCCGATCCTCCGCGCGTGAATGCGAGTACCAAGACATTCGGCGATCCTTCTCGGGGATACTCTCCTTGTTCAGAGACATGGGAGGACGATCATAAGAACAACACAAGGCTTTGCATGCAGGGCTACTAAAGCGTGAACACCAGGCTTTCGACATACTGCCAAAGCCGTGAATTCGAGCAGCTGTGTCAAATAAACACCACTATTGAAGTGCATGCGCTGTCAATGAAGGCATCACATCCCTCGAAGTAATGGCAACAAGAAGAATCCAATAGGGCCCAACCATGCAAACCATCGGCCTGCACTCTATGTGGCAAGGTCCTACAAGCAAACCCCGGTCCGACCTTGCAGGAGTCCGTCTCTCCGCTTGCTGTGGTCGCCGTGGTATCGACCTCCACAGAGCTGTTGTCGGGCCGGTTGATCCAAGGTTCGGCCCCTGATGGTTGTCCCGGAATGAGACGAGATCATAGCACTCCAGCTTGCTTCTGGTACCTACTGCTTGAGTGCATGGAGGCTTTGATTTGGCAATGGCGCTAAGCTTGCAGCCAGCTCCTGAGCCGGGGGCAGTCGTGAGATTGAGTTTCTTTGCTTACCAGCTTGACCTGGACTCTCTCAGGCTCTCAGCCCTGCAAGGCCTTCTGGACCAACAAAGACTCTTCTCCCGCAGCCGACTTGTCCGCAATGTCCTCCTTGTCTGAGGCTTTTGACATCGAAGAGGATGACCAAGGCTCGACCAACATGTAATGTGGAGTGAGGGAGAACAAATGTGAATCGGTGTCATCATCAGTCACCATCATCATCGTCATGGTCACTACAATAACCAGGAGGCTTCACTCACACCTGGTCGCCCGAGCCGCCGACTCAGAGAACATTGGGCAGGTCGTTTACTCGCAAGCGCGAGAGTGCTTGCGGCCCTAATGCCCAGGTGTGTGTGAACATCGCAGCTGCTTGCAAGGACAAGCAGACTTCATGAGCCAAAAACACCTACAAGTCAAGCAGCGTGACTTGGATCAATTCGAGGGCCGACTGTGCAATTGCATATAAGACCCTTTGTACAAACCACTACAACTAATACCATATACAACGCTGCACGCAAAGAAGAAACGCCGAAACAGAGGTGACCGCTACCAAATGACGAGTCCTCCTTTCTTTCGATCTTTGGATCTGCCACGTTCCAGACTTACAGTGCCCTTCCTCTTGGACAAACAACATAATTAGTGGAATAGCAGCAGCGCGGCACACGTTTAGGATCGGGATGCCGGACACGATATGGCTACAAGTTCGAACTTCCGAAAACATGTGCCGCTCTGTTGGCTTCGGCTGGGATGGCATCGGTATAGGAGAACGTGTACGGGCCTTGCTAGAACTACCAGTGCTGTTGGCCATGTTGGCTAGAGCGATGACATCTGAACAAGCTCCCATGTACTCGTGAGAAGGCAAAGCAGGCCACTACGCTGAGAACTCCGACACTTTCTTTGTTTGTTCGATTTGACGTGCCCTGCCTTACAGTACATTCTGCAGTCTTGAAGCAGCATCCCGAAAAGTAGAAGAGCTTTTCCCATGCACGAGCAGCCCAGCCCTCATGTCTGAATACACACGTACATCTGTATTTGTGTGAGACTTTATTGTACAGCTTCAGCATACCAGCGATTGCAAGAAAGCTTCCATCTTCTTCTTACTGCTGACGGCTGTGGCCCAGTCGATTCGGTGCCTCGGCTATTTGCAAAGTTGTGGCTCGAACCCAATGGCCCTGGGTTTAGGAAGGTTTGGGGTCTGGGGCCAGCATCTATGCATAGATGGCTTGGGAACAAGGCTTCTGAAATGCAAAGGAGTTGCCCAGCCACGGAATCTTGCACCTGATGAGCATCTGCCGGCATAGAGCTGGCACCTCGCAGGGGAAGGCAAGGTGATGAGTAAATGGATCTAGTGATAAACAGACGAGACTATCTTCTTGCGAGCGAGGGCACAACCCATCGTGCTGACCAGAGGCAGAAAGCACACTGCAATCTCACACGTAAATGGCTCGGGAAGGCGGCCAACGAAATGCCACGCTTAAGTGTGACGACCTGGGTATGATCAGACAGGATTTCTTCGAACATGCGAGTACCCACTGACTTGTGGGCGCTATTCGGCGGCAATACAGCCACCGCTGCTTCGAGCCAAGAGCCAGCATGATAAGCATGAAGCAGCAGAGGCTTGCACGACAGCCCCTCCTGAGTAGGACGGCTTGTGATGAATAATTTCGCTTCTGTTCCTACCCCAGAGTCCCGTCCGCCGTCCGCCCCTGTCCTGCTGACGCTCTTGCACTTCCTGGTTCTGCTCCAGGAGCTTCCTGGGATCACGCCGTCAGAAAAATCAACAATCAGGGCTCAAGAGCTGCTACTTCCTCATCCCCTGAAACGCTAGGCAAAGCCTACATCATCCCATATACCACACGACGAGCACGTGACAATCATGGTAGTGCTAATTCGAACAAGAATAGTGCATGAATCCATGAACATTTACATAATGTAGCCGCGTGGGCTCAGCCACGGACCAGCCAAGACACTCCTCGAGATTCATGCGCTCTTTGTGAAGGGCCGCAAACTCCTCAAAACGGATCATGGGAAACCTCGACACTCATATGTATATATATATATATACATATATATGTATGTCTACGTGTATATATATATAAATAAATATAAATATAAATATATATATATATATATCTATATATATATATATATATATACATACAGATTTACATACATGCAATGCATATTGCATACATGCAAATACATACACATACGTAGATTGATAGAGGCTTTAGGCTTAAACCCCAAACCAAAGCATAATCCGGAGTCGCACTGGAGTTCAGGAAGTTCAGTTTTGCTAGACGTTGAGGTTCCTAAGACCCCTGGACTCCACACGCTTCACCAGACACGTTTCATAGGGCCAAGGCTTTTGTGAATCACATACCAGTAGAGCTTCCTGAGAGCCGCTGGATCCTAGGGAGGGAGAGAGACAGCAAGATGCTAACACTGTCGCCCCTCACTCTCGCGCAGCAGCCTTCTCCTTTGTCAAGAGCTGCTCCTGCCAGCGAAACTGACACTCGCAGATGTGCAATGCCGCAAAAAGCAGTGTCGAGATTCGAAACTCGTGCGACCACTTCGAAACGCTACGCATCCACGGAATCTGGAGGTATTCAAGGAGTCTGCACGTATCCCTTTAGTCTAGCGGGGCAAACTTTGGTCCGTTGGACTTGCGGTCCAACCCCTGCAGCAGGGTGCAAGACCGTATTACCACGCGCCTTCACAGCGCTGGCGGAGACGTGAGCACTTTGGCTCTCCGACACTTGCCACCTCAATGCATGCCAAGTACCGAGAATGCGCTTCCTGGTTCTGATGGCTCTCGCAGGGGCATCGCAAGTCCCACTCAGACCGTTCCCGCATTGCTCAGCTACAAGTAGCACCAGTAGTCGGTGCCCGGTACATAGCAAATCCCAGCATCAAGTTCACACCCAGGTTTGCACTGCTGTGACACCAGTTCTACGTACGAGAACGTATCAGGCGGCTAGAGATGTGGCACGTGGTTATGTTTATGGAGGCTGCCAACAGGTGGGAGAGCTTTCCTCGGGGGGTGAGGGTGTATGGATTGAGCATGGTTTTCCTACTAGGGGGTCCCTTCCTAGTTGAGATCCGATTATGATTGAATGCGCGCTTCGTTCGACACTGCTTGAACTTGGATCTTGGAAGTAAGCACGCTTTCGATGTTCTTATATTGATACAATGGTTCAAGATTGTTCGTCCGTTGTTCCGTTCGATTGTTTCATGACACTTATACACATCATATGAGGGTATGAACACCAATTCCGATATCGATAATTATGTTGCTTTCGAAATAAATGGAACTGGATAAACCCCACGAATATGAAACTATGTCTGGACATATGCATGCTCGATGCCAACGACATATTTGCACAATAGTGAACTAATTGTATGGATACATATTTGATTGCACATGCAAATAAGAAAGAAGCTTTGCATCAATATCAGCTAGGTGCATGCACTAGGAAATGACCCTTGCAAGCTTTCTCAGCCCACGGCGGCGAACTTGCGGCATCCAGGCGCTCGCGGCCACGCTGGAGAACTTGCTCCGCGCTCGCAATAGCTACCTCTTCCCACATGACGGGTTGCTTTAAAGGTTCCGTTAAAGGGTCCTATACTACAGGGGCCTTAATAGTAGGACACGGTTCTGGGGTTTATTATACTATTACTATTACAATGAGGAGCCCCCAAACTATTGCATAGGGGTAATGCTCAAGGCCCCTGCAGCTCCCCAATCCCCATGAGAGCCTCCTGGCACAAAGAATCTGGAATCTAGAAACCCGAGATCTGGAACCTGAAGGCCCTAAACCAAAACCCTAATAAAATCCCAACTTCTGACCCCACAAACAAGAACCAAATCTACGCCCCAACCCAGAGTTGTAACCCCAAGCATCTACACCCCCTAAGATTGCTACATAAACTGAACTCCCTGTCGATTTATCCAGCCTGGAGCCCGGCACCCTGCTGCTCCAAGTCAGCGACGCGCTTCTTCCAATCCTGCAGAGAAGATCCATTGAGGGCTGGCCTGGGCCTAAACTTAAGCTTCAATGGTTCCTCTAAGGGTTCCTTTAAGGGGTTTCGGGGCCCCGAAGGTTTTAGGGTTTGGGTTTGAGATTTTGAGCCTGGGGTTGCAGCTTCACTTGGCAAGTTGGGTGGATGTGGGTCTCGGGCTCCCGGGCACTCGATTCTTTCACCAACTGGCTGAAGTCTGTGGATGCCTGAAGCCCTGCGTCGACGCTGCAAGACCCGCAAACCCCGCTGCCTGCCTGGATGGCTGTCTTTTGCGCGGAGATCTCTTCCGTGAGATTTTCTTTCTCACCTTTCAGGGTGGAAGCTTCAGAGCTAGAACTGAGGTGACACCTCATTCAATTTTGGGCCAACGGACCAAGCTTTACGTAGTGTAGCTGCCTCTAGGTACATCTTCTTCTTTCTGAGCGGGGCTGACTGTAGCAACTACGCACCCACCCTGTGGAAGAAATTGAGTACGACAACGACGGCATGCAATCACCATCTTCTACGGTTGCTCTAGCGGCTTGCTGCTATTTCTGTGCCTGAGCCCCCTTTAACAATTCGAACGATCGCTCGGCACCTGGTTTCGGCTGCGTCACAACGGGCCGTTGCGCCTGGCCGAGAAGCTTGAGACGCATAGTTGTTGTATCTAAGGTCTCCATAATGCTCTGCACAGATTGAGTGAGCCAGATTCCCCGATGGGGTCTAAATTGAATTTTCTTCTAGAGGAGATTAGACATGCATCGGAGTCTGTAGTGTACTTTCCTCTCAGCCTTCGAAGTGCAAACAAGCTTGTCGGCCAGAGCGGTTCTTGTCTACATCTTTCGACCATGTACATGTGTCAATTGCAAGGATGTGTGGCAGGTCTCTAGGCATGACAAGGTGTTGTCGTCCCTGTCACAAGCCGCAGCCCAGCGTAGCAATCAACAAACATGGGAAACACATCAGAAGCAAGTCCCTCCACCTTCCGCCGCTCCACGTCGACCTTCAACTTTGCGAGCTCCTCACGCAAATCCTCCAGGCGCCACCTGCACCAATCGCCAAGAACACCTTCCCGAAAATGTTTACGAACCTCATACTTCGGCATGCCACACTTTGATCTTGGCAGCTGGTTGGTCTTCATGGTCCCAATCGTGGCGTGGGCAGTTGTGTTTGTCGGACCTTTCTCACACATTTCAGGAGCCAGCTGCTTGCATTGAACTCGGCTGGGCTTGGGCCCGGAGTGACTGGCAACAGCACAGAATTGCCCACCATGACGCATTACAGCGATTCGTGCTGACCAGTATGATGCTGCTGCACTACGCCGGACTCTGCCATGACCAACATGGTGTGCACATGATAGTTATCTCCCCCAGAGGCTGTACACTTGTAGGCTGCACAAAACCTCATCGTGACCGTCAATTACCAACCCGCAAAACCGAAAACCCTCGTATCCGAAATCCCCAAAACCCAAAACCCACCAAAAACTCACCAAAAACCCCCAACTCCAAAGCCCCAAACGAGCTACAGCTACCCTTCAGGAGCCGCCTGAGCTCTTCCCTGGTCTTCGGCCGAATGCGCTTCGGCCCGGCCTGTCCAAGCACTCCCAGCACTTCGGTGGTCAGTGCTTGACTTGTTGCTTTTAGACCCAGTTCCGCTTCTGGTGCATCGAGCATTCACGGGGGCCAGTGCTTCTGCAATTCTGTTGCTTTGGCTTGCACGTTTGCTGGTTTGTTTCGGTTTGGACAGGGCGGTGCTTCCGCAGCCTGCTTCTCCCGCTTCAGCTACAATCGGTTACCCACCTAGGGGTTCACCTAGCCAATGTTTCAAACCTATACGTCTTCGAACGATGCCATGAGCGATCAAGTACACTAAACCCTCAGCCCTACATGGGAGTTTCCGAAAATTAGGGGTACCTGGGGATCCTTTTAATGAGGATCCTACTATTTAGGGTGGCACATTAAGGTCCCCAAATTTCGGAGACTCCCACATAACACTTGTAGGGGTATCAGATCTGAACCCTGGACTTTGAAGCCGAAACTCGTGACAAAGCACATCGCAAGCTGCCTCAAGGGCTGTCAGGATCTGCTTCCGAGCAAGGTCCTTCAAAGCTTAGCTCTCTTTCTTCCGTCTCAGGAGTTCTGGGACACCACTGTGGGACGATGCATCGGTGGTTTAGGCTGCTTCTGTACCAACGCCATCTACTACATACTGCGCTGCAATCCAGGCGAGCTACCAGGAATCATCGTGATTATCCTCAGCATCATCACTCTCATCGACAGTCGCCTTCATCAGGACGCGCACCATCCTTTCATTGCGAGCCCCACCGCAACCTCTCAACCCGAAGCTGGAAGCGACATCCGCAGCTGAAGATTCTTTTCCGCTCGTCTGCCGCTA